GAGTATTGTAAAGTTGTATTGTAATTACTACGGCGTAGTGCGTTCTGGTAGAAAGGCGCGGATAAGTTGAATGAAGTTTGGTCGGACGATAAGGTGGAAATTCGTTTGTTAATTGCTTCCCGGATGTGCTTTATGATAGAAGGTGGATGATTTGAACGACTGTCAACATAGAGGGGATCGTTGTTCGGTTTTTGGTATGGGGAGAATGTCTCTTCTTGCAGATTCAATGTAACGTTAAGAAAGTTCACGATGTGATTGTTGACTTCGGCTGTAATCTTTAAACCTAAATCGTGGAAGATAGTATGCAATGTTTTTCTTGCTTTGTCCGCTAGCCTCCCGCTCTTACCGTGTAATAGCATTAAACCGTCATCACGATATAAACCCACGTTTTCTTTCCCAAAATTATCCGAAATTTCTTTTAGAATGAATAGGCCGACAAGGTCGCATATTTCTGCGCCATCATAACTACCCATTGTAACGTCAAATAGCGACGCGTTGTTTTTCTTTGCCCATGTCGTTTCACCGTAGAACAGCAAGGATTTTCTTGCGTGTTTGATGATAGATACTTGCTCTTCGGTAATTATTGTTAATGTTTTAGCCCATGAGATAACTTTGTCGAGAAGACTTTCTGTAATGGATGGGTAAAATTCGACAATATCGAAAGATAGGAATGTGTGGTTCGGTTTGTTATTGGTATCTCTGAACCAGTCAATAACAGATAACGAGTTCTTCCACTGGTTTACGTTAAGTATTGATCTAATCTTGTTATTAATCTCGTCAAGTATGACTTTACTTACCTTACCAAGCTCGCTCTTTGCTGGATTAATTAGTCGACATTGCGGGTTTGAATCAAAGTTATCTTTGTGGTCCTTGAGCGTTATAAATGCGTTTCTTTTTGCCATGGTATCGACGCGATCTGCGATAGAAAAATTACTTGTAATGTTCTTTAATTCAGTATTGATATCTTCAGTTAAATTGTCGCTTCCCAGTTTATAGGTTTTAGTAATGTCATCACTCATTAGTTTATCATATGCTCCAGGTGTTACTTCGTAAATATTTCTGGTTTTGTCAGCGAATATTAAAACATTTTCCGACGTCTTAACTTTTTCTAAATCTTCAGCAACATTGTCTAAGAAAGGGTCGACGACATTTTTAAATTTGACATTTGTTACCATCCGGATCAGATCTTCCTCAAATCGTTTCATTTCAGTAACATTAGGCGCACATTTCCTAGACGGTAGTCCAAATTTACTGTCTCTTAAGTTATTACTATCACCACCAAGAAAAAAATTCGCTTTCCACCACATACGTTGGACGACGCTTTCCACTTTTTCAATCAGGCGTCTTCGATATTGATTATGTGTTGGCAAACCAATGTTTTTCAGCGAGTAGTTGAACTGAATCTTGTGCATTTTAAGATTATTGATATTGAGCACTCTTCGTTCAATTACGGACAACAAGAATTAATTATTCGCACTTGCAACGCAGTTGTGCACTCTATTTTTCCGTTTTGATTACACAATCAATAATCTTAAAATGCACAAGATTCAATTCAACTACTCGCTGAAAGACATTGGTTTGCCAACACATAATCAATATCGAAGACGCCTGATTGAAAAAGTGGAAAGCGTCGTCCAACGTATGTGGTGGAAAGCGAATTTTTTTCTTGGTGGTGATAGTAACAACTTAAGAGACAGTAAATTTGGACTACCGTCTAGGAAATGTGCGCCTAATGTTACTGAAATGAAACGATTTGAGGAAGATCTGATCCGGATGGTAACAAATGTCAAATTTAAAAATGTCGTCGACCCTTTCTTAGACAATGTTGCTGAAGATTTAGAAAAAGTTAAGTCGTCGGAAAATGTTTTAATATTCGCTGACAAAACCAGAAATATTTACGAAGTAACACCTGGAGCATATGATAAACTAATGACTGATAACATTACTAAAACCTATAAACTGGGAAACGACAATTTAACTGAAGATATCAATACTGAATTAAAGAACATTACAAGTAATCTTTCTATCGCAGATCGCGTCGATACCATGGCAAAAAGAAACGCATTTATAACGCTCAAGGACCACAAAGATAACTTTGATTCAAACCCGCAATGTCGACTAATTAATCCAGCAAAGAGCGAGCTTGGTAAAGTAAGTAAAGTCATACTTGACGAGATTAATAACAAGATTAGATCAATACTTAACGTAAACCAGTGGAAGAACTCGTTATCTGTTATTGACTGGTTCAGAGATATCAATAACAAACCGAACCACACATTCCTATCTTTCGATATTGTCGAATTTTACCCATCCATTACAGAAAGTATCTCGACAAAGTTATCTCATGTGCTAAAACATTAAAAATAATTGCCGAAGAGCAAGTATCTATCATCAAATACGCAAGAAAATCCTTGCTGTTCTACGGTGAAACGACATGGGCAAAGAAAAACAACGCGTCGCTATTTGACGTTACAATGGGTAGTTATGATGGCGCAGAAACATGCGAACTTGTCGGCCTATTCATTCTAAAAGAAATTTCGGATAAGTCTGGGAAAGTAAACGTGAGGTTATATCGGGATGACGGTTTAATGCTATTACACGGTAAGATAGTAAGGTAAGGTAAGGTAACTTTATTTATCCACGGTGTACTCATCAGGATTAAGATTACATACATATAGCTATATATATAAATAAATCTACAAAATTATGCATAAAACTAATAACACACTACTTACAATATAAATAACACAATATATAAATTCATACTAAGAAATGACAAAAGAAAAACCTGCTTTACATGAGTGCCGTGCATTAATTAGGTATTACGATCGAGAAGAGAGAAATTTATTATAGCCAGATCGAAACGAATTTAAAGAATTAGCTTGCCTCAACTCAACAGGAAGGCTGTTCCATGTTACTGCACCACTATAACTAAAGGAGTTTCTTAGGTAGTTAGTACGAGGAAAAGGAACAGCAAGTTTGCCAACAGTGTCCCTAAGAGAATAACCCGAAACACAGCTACGATCAACAAATTTTGAACGAAGATATTCAGGAGCCAAACCATTTATCGCGGGAGGCTAGCGGACAAAGCAAGAAAAACATTGCATACTATCTTCCACGATTTAGGTTTAAAGATTACAGCCGAAGTCAACAATCACATCGTGAACTTTCTTGACGTTACATTGAATCTGCAAGAAGAGACATTCTCCCCATATCGAAAACCGAACAACAATCCCCTCTATGTTGACAGTCGTTCAAATCATCCACCTTCTATCCTAAAGCACATCCCGGAAGCAATTAACAAACGAATCTCCACCTTATCGTCCGACCAAACTTCATTCAACTTATCCGCGCCTTTCTACCAGAACGCACTACGCCGTAGTAATTACAATACAAGTTTACATACTCTGCTGATGAAAACTGTAACGATAGCCCATCATGAAAAACAAGAAGGCGGAAAACAAATATTATATGGTTCAACCCTCCCTTCAGCAAGAATGTTAAAACAAACATTGCACGTAACTTCCTTCAACTAATTGACAATCATTTCCCCAAAACATCTCGCCTCCACAAGATCTTCAATAGAACAGCGTAAAAGTGAGCTACTCGTGCATGAGCAACATCAAGAGCGTTATCTCCAACCGCAATCAACACCTGCTTGGAAAAAGCAACCAGCCAGAAAGTAAAGAAACGTGTAACTGTCATGATAAAGACAAATGTCCGCTTGACAATAAGTGTTGTATACAAAGCAGAAATCTCGACAAGTGACGGCGAAGAAACGAAGGCGTACATTGGAATGACGGCGGGGACGTTCAAGAAGAGGCATGCCAACCATAAAATAAAAATCACTAACTGTTCCTCGGTATTCAGCGGAAACAGAATTATCAAAGTATGCGTGGAAACTCAAGAAAAGCGGGAAACAATACAACATCAAGCGGAGCATACTAAAGCGTGCCCGTGCGTATACGGCTGGTGCAGCAAGATGCAATCTGTGCCTTGAAGAGAAGGTTTGCTTACTGGAAGCTGACAAAAGCAGGATATTGAATAACCGCTCAGAAATATTCGCGAAATGTTGTCATAGAAATAGTTTTAGCGCGCGCAAATTTGAACGCACGCGAGATGCGTCAGCAAACCGTTAGTTTAGAGCACGTCATTGAATCAACTTCAATCGCCTGAAGATCGCTTCGAAAGAAGCGTGAAACACAGTGTAGCGACAAATATATTTTAAGATTAAAGAATTATATATATATATATATATATATATATATATATATATATATATATATATATATATATATATATATATATAGCTTTGGAAATTTCCTACGATGCTGAAAATCGAAGAACATTCAAAACTATATGTAGCAAGTGTAATACCGCTCGAACTCTGGTTCAGCCTCTTAAGTGCTGCTATTAGTTATAGTTTTATTTAGATAGTTTTTTTATGTTTGTATGTCCTAATTCGGGCCCGCAGTAATTGGCTCACGCTGTTGCGGTCACCCTGCCTATAGTCATGTATCGTAATATGGCGAAACTTATAAATAAATAAATACAATACTCTATCCGCTGGAAAATTTTAAAGAAATGTAAGGCCTACTCAAACAAAACAAAATGTTGCAAATTATGCCTGCACGAAAACTTTATTATAATTTACTATCCCAAATTAAGCTCTTTGAACTCGAGGAATGAACTAAAATCCGAATGTAGGCACAGGAAAAATTCCTGCTTTGCAGCCAATAGCTCAGGTTACAGACATAGGTTTACGCTTTCCTGATGACGTCAAACATTTTTATATAATAGCTCAAGTTACCTGTAGGTTATAACATCATGTAAATACGCGATATCATCATTCACCTGATGAGTGTGGCAAGCTTAATTTGCCATACGAAACAAATTTGTCGCGAATAAATGTTTTAAACGAAGTAACTCAAGTTTGTCTTTCATTTTCTCCACTTACGAATTCTCGCTACGGGCATATATGCAGTAGCTCACTGATGTACCCTCATTGGAACATTGATAATTCATCCACTCGTTCGCATCCATCAGAAAAAGAAACTGCTGCCATTTAATGTCCAATTTTCTTCTTCTCGTATCTGTGAATAACGAGTGGATGAGTTATGATTATTTATTTATTTATTATAATTTTACCACATAAAAGAGTGGCAGGGTCACCACAACAGTATAAAAACCAATTACTGTGCGCCCTATTTCACAAATACTATATAAAAATATACAACTACATTAACATAACTTAATTTACGAGAACAAATACAACTATCAGGAACAACAGGAGAGAGGAGTAGCAAGACTATACGAGCAGAGTTACATTTCAAACAGATTGGTTTCCAAGTCCGACGAGTTTCAGATTCATAGTTTATATTAGTAGTAAAAAAACCCTATATAGCAACGGAAGTAATTAGTATGCAAAATATGGGGACGGAAGTAATTAGTATGGAAGTCTAACTTGACGTCGGAAGTAACTAGTATGCAAAATCTATGGCGTCACTCGGCCGAATGTGACAGGTAGCGCGACCAATTAACGCGGGCAAGCCTGGGCCGGACGTGACAGGCGATCAAATAGCATCACAACTAGTTTCAGAAATAGAAGGATTAATGTCGATTTACTATGATTGGAGGTTTGAGGAGTCATTTTTTACACAGAATGTGAGTTACTATTAATAGCGAGTGCAGTGATTTGCCATTGCGAATAATATAGCACACTGCTTGTGTTACTTTAAACGATGGTTTACAAGGGTATTTTCAAAACATATAGTTTCATTGATAGAAATATAAATATCGTGATGGCAGCGTTGTCAGGTAATCCCCACGCGCAAAACACAAAGGTTGAAGTAATTAAGAGGATTAAGCCGATACGAATTGGCTTACTATGCGTTGGTGCTAGGTACAGAAACATCTTGAAATATGTCCATATTTTTTGATAAATTTTGAAACATTTGATCCAAGCACAATCTTTTATCGAATTGAGAGTCATGAGCTACAATGTATGTTGACCTATTTGTCGTATTAAGATCAAGAAAAGCCATTAGAGTTGTTTGCTGCAGCATTATTTAGCAAACCTCATAGATATAAGGAAGCTTATCAAGAATATAAGTTAGAATTGAAACAGTT